TAAGCCAAACTGGCCAGGGCTCTGCTCTCTCTTTAAGCGGGGTTTCTCAACAATGGCATTATTGTTATTTTGGACCTGTTAATTCTTTGTTGTGGATGGCTGTCCTGTGCATTACAGGATGTTTACCAGCATCTTGGGCCTCTATCCATTAAATGCCACTAGCACCCTCCCCAGTGATGATGAAAAGTCTATCCAGACATTGCCAAATGTTACCCAGGAGTTAAAATCACCCCCAGTTGAGAATCACTGCTATAAGGAACCAGAGCCTAGGAAATGCACCTGCCTGTGGCATATCAGGGCAAGACAGATATTCATTTTTTCCAAATAGAAAGTCTTGACTATTTTTATATTATAGTTTATAATCCACAGGATTAGCTCAACCCTGGGAGAAAGAGAAAAATTCTGTCACTTAACCAGTTTTTCAGACTTATTTCAGAAAATGAGATCTTTAAGAGAATGCAGGAATAAGACCTTCCAGCTTTAGAATATCTAGGGATGTATTTTCATAAATCTAGCCTGGAGCCAGTAGACATAACCCTAAGCAGAGGGAGAGTAATAATACTAGTATGATTTTTTATATCATCAGTGCTTCATTTGTGCCATTTTTACCTGTCTGGCAGTAACATAGTCCTGATCTCTCAGAATTCACTGCCAGAACTTCTCCAGGCTTTTAATTCAGGGGCTGGGTCAAGAGGGGGAAAGGGAAGGGGAAAATAGGGGGCATCTGTAATCTGTCAACAATAAAAATAACTATATTTTTAAAAAAGACTGAAGTTGCAAAGAGGAGAGAGAGCTGGGTCATTAACCAGGAATGTCACCCAAATGGAAGGGGAAGGGAGAGGTGTTGGTACACACGTGTGTCCAACATGTATCTACATGACCGTGGCAGACTAGCAGGGACAGAAAAGATGGCTTCAGATGCCAAGGAAGCAGGCTGCATCTGAAGGCCAGGCTTTGGAGGATTGGCCACTGTTACTTGGGCTCTTCTGCAAATGCATACCTCCCTGCAGAGTTACAATTGAACGGCCAGGTTTTTAAGTCAACCATGTTCCTTGAGCAGGTATGTGTTGCACACCTTCCTGGCACAGAGGTTCAGGAATGGGGGGAGAAGAGGAGGGGAGAAATGTAGCTAATTGAGCACTTGATCTGTAATAGACACTCTTACCTATTTGATGAATGAACGAATGAGGCTTTAGGAAAAAGAACACACTAACCTGATAATAAGTATAATGCTGACAGGACAAAGTATTGTCCCATTGGCTGAGAAGACTGTCACAACTGCTCTAACTTCTGAAGTTTTAGCCTCATGCTGGGCCTGTTCGGCTCATAGTCATGGCAGTGGATTTGAGGAGTTGATTGATGGTCTTCCAGCCATGCCTGGCTGTCTGCTCGTCTAAAAGGAGCTCATAATCAGTGGTGGGCTTAAGTGTGGATACCCACCACTCCACCAGCAGCACAAATGAGCCCCGCTCAGCCCAGGCGAGAATGCAGGCCCTGCTCTTGGCACCCGTCCTGGAAATGCAGAACAGACTTCTTTATTCCAGTCTCCAGGCTTCTGGCTAGCGAGGAACACTGCCCGGCTGTGAAGCATTTTATAGGATTATAACGGGCTTTGCCGAAGGCGAGTTCTGAAAGGCACTTTGTGCTGTTGCTTTGAGTGAAGCTGACTGTTAGGGCAGTGTTGTTCCTAAGCCCATAAACACACACACAGGCAGGATGGGGAATGCCTGGCTCCTGGGGCCCACTCAGCTGGGCAGCATTGCAGATTTGGGCCGCTTCCCTCAACTGTGGCACCAGACTCAGGGGTGTGTTTGGGAACCCTTCTGTAGAGCAGCCTGCTTTCTGACAAAGTCTTTGGTCACAGACACCCCTGGTTGGAATCCTAAACAGATTGCTCAAACTCCAAATCTGCTAATCTGGGGGCAGCACATCACACACTGAGAAGGTTCTGAAGTCAGGGCACAAAGTGGAAATTGTATGGGGTCAATACCCTTGAAAATTCTTTAACTGTCTCAGACCTCCCAAGGGAACTCCAAATTCGCATCTTTCTTTTCACACTCATTGTGGGGGCTTATGTTTGTTTTGCTTGGTTGTGGCACTATTTAGATTGTCACTGGCCATTAGCTATAAATCAATTTCTTCTCTTCTCTTCTCTTCTCTTCTCTTCTCTTCTCTTCTCTTCTCTTCTCTTCTCTTCTCTTCTCTTCTCTTCTCTTCTCTTCTCTTCTCTTCTCTTCTCTTCTCTCTCTCCCTGTTCTCCCTAGCATGTATAGTGGAAAACATGTTACTTTGCACATATGTTGTGTGGTCATTCATATCAGTCACTTTTTATGGATCCAAATCTTTTAAGGAGGGGAAAATAAAAAATGTTTAAATAAAGTGAATATGGAAGTGTTCTCATCAACCAATATGACCATTCTTTGCTCTATGACAGTTGTACTTAGACTTGAGGTTAAAGTGTCCTCCCTTCCTTGGGGTTAATTTATTACTACACTGGACTTAGGGTGTGTCAGCCTTCCTGCTTGGCCCTGAGGGTCCTGCAGTCAGTAGTCCAATTCTAGACTCCTGTAGTTTGCTGGGTCACTCTTTTCTTCACCAAGAGCTAGAAGTCCACCTCCCAACTGGAAGACAAGGTCCAGCAAGCTCCACGAGGGATCAAAGCCCATCCCTGAAGGGCCATTGCTGGCAGAGTCCTCTAGTTGGGATGCTGGGCCTGTGGAAGCCAGAAAGCAGGGAAGGAATGAGGAGCAGCTGTAGGTGCTTCAGCTTGTATCTTTGGCAGCCAGGGAAGCCTTAAGTGAGGCATCTCACTGCCTCCTGGCCCTGCTTTGGCTGCACAATTAACCAAGGGCTGCTCTGGTCTGGTGCTCTTGGAGAAGGGGTTCCCCTCACTCTCTCACCAAGCTTGGCCAAGCTTGTGGGGAGCACCTGTGTAAGCACCCCATCAGCACAGCTCAGGCTAAAAGGACAAAGTTGTGTTCAGGAATACAGATAGGAAAAATCAGTGGTCCTGAGGCATTCTTTCCCACCCAAACCTCTTCTTTGACCACTTCCTTATCACTACTTTATGGTCCACATTTGAAAGAAAACACTCACGTGCTCTTTTCAGTCTTAATTAGAACTCACTCATTCAGGAGCCTCCTTTACATTTGTGGCAATAGTGAGCCTGGCAAAATTTGGCCAGATTTTCCCTGCTTCTCAAGGCAGTTTGTCTTCACTAGTTGGGCAGGGAAGTGGGTGGATTTAGTGCCAGAGTGTGGGTTTGGTACCAGAGATGAGAGAGTTGTATATCATGAGGATTCCTGTCTGGAAAGTGGGAACTGCTGGTTTCTGGCCTCAGGTGGAAGCAGAGAACACTGAAACAGGGCCTAGATATTTCTATTCCCGCAACCTCCTGCACACCGAAGAAGTCTAAACAAAAGACATCATCTCCCCAAACCACTACCCACTATGGCCATAACTGTGATAAGGGGTGGGGCGGGGGAGAGAGTGGGATTCAACAGTGCAGTCTACAAAATAACTTTTGATGTAATAATTTTTTTAATATTTAAAAAACTAATTTCTAATTTCTCAAGTAACACATGAATGTATTTTTCTTGTAAAAAAAATTAAGAACAGCCCTGGCCGGTTTGGCTCAGCAGTTGGAGCATCTGCCTGCGGTCCGGAGAGACCCGGGTTCGGTTCCCACTACGGGCACTTACCTTGGTTGCAGTTTGTCCCCGGCCCTGGTTGGGTCGTGCAGGTGGCAGCCACTCGATGTGTCCCTTTCATGTCAATGTTTCTCTCTCTTCCTCTCTCTCCCTCCCACTCTATCTGAAAAAAAAAAAAAAAAAATGGAAAAATGTCCTCAGGTGAGGATTAAAAAAAAAAAAAATTAAGAACAGCCTTGGCAGGGTGGCTCAGTTGGTTGGAGTATCGTCCACCAAAAAGTTGTAGGTTTGATTCTCAGTGTATGGGTGGACAACAAATCAGTATTTCTCTCTCACATCTCTCCCTCTCCCCTCTCCCCTCTCCCCTCTCCCTCAAATCAATAAACATCCTCAGGTAAGGATTAAAAACAAATTTAAGAACACGGGCTGTAAATGTAAAGTCTCCTTTGTCTATTACATTTAATCCTTTAAGGCCAGGTACCCTCTGGTACCAATTGCCTCCCCTGAGCCCCAAGAACTCATGACATGAGTTTGCTGTGGATCCTTCTGGGTGTTTTTCAATGGTATTTACCTCCATGCCTCTACAGAAAATATATGGTATTCTTTTGTAGATGCATTTTTAACACAAATGGTATTATATTGTGCTTACTCTGTGATTATTTTTAACTGAACCTCATACATTGGAGATGTTTCCACTCCAGACCCATAATGAGGAGAGTTTATTTAACTATTCCCTATTGATGGATATTAGCTGATTCCAGCTGAGGTTTGGTTTTTACTGCCCAGACAGGGCTGCAGCAAATGATCTTGTAATTGCCCCTTGGGCATTTGCGGTGTGTTTTTTCCAGTAAGGCGAGGTAGATAGAGCCAGGTCATTGATTTGCCCCAAGTGGCAGGCTGCAGAGGAAAGGGCTGGGGTAAAACGCTCTGGAAGTAGTGGAAAAGTTTTGTGTACCCATCGCGGAGGTAGTTACAAGTGTTTACATTTGTCAACATTCAACTAACTGTACTCTTAAAATGGACGCATTTTAGTACTTGCAGATTGTATTATAATGCCGTTCATTTTTTAAAAATGTGTATGCGGGGAGACTGGCTGGGAACAAGGCAAGGGGGGCTTTGAAAACACTTGTTCCCCCCAGGCAGTTTCCCTCCGCCCCGCTTTGCCCGGGCTTCCTCTCCATGCAGGGAGTGCGGGGTCCAGCGCAGTGGCCCCGGGTCCAGCGCCACCGCATCCCTCACCGCTCACTGCCCAAGGCGTCTCCCTCCCGCAGCACCTGGCGCTCGGGACGCGCCCCGCCCCGCCCCCCGATGGGCGGGCCCGGCCGTGGCCCCGCCCCCAGCCGCAGTTGGGTGCCTTCAGGCTAGGAGCCGGCTGTCAGTCTCGGTGTCGCCGCCGTCGCCGCCGCCACCGCCTGGCACCGTGGAGCTGGGGCCCCCTTTCGCTAGGGAGTTCTGTGGTCTCATCGGGTCAGCGGTGACATCCCAAAGGGCAGGGCCGGCAGCCGCCATGGTGGCCAAGGATTACCCCTTCTACCTCACGGTCAAGAGGGCGAACTGCAGCCTGGAGGTGCCCCCGGCCAGCAGTCCGGCCAAGGACGCCGAGGTAGGGACCTCCGCCTGACTCCTGGGTCCGGAGGTCTTCTCCCCTGTGCCACTGTCTGTTTCCACCTCTCACTCTGGATGTTCTCGTTCTCTCCGTCTCTCACACGTACTCCCCATGTCTCCGTCTCCAGCTCTCACTCTGTCTCTTTTCCGTACCTCCTGTGGATCAAGCCAGGGCCACCTTCTCCCTGTCCCTGTCCCTCTGGGCCGGCCGGGAGCAGCAGCCGCTTGCCCCTGCCCCCTCCTACCGCCACCCTGTCTCTGCCTCCTGCAAGGTTCTCAGGCCGTTGGTCTTCTGTTTAGACCTGGCAGAGGGACTTTTCCCCTGTATCAGCAGGTCCAGCCATCAGGGAAGAGCTACCCTTGAAGTGCCCCTTTCCTCTTGCCCGGGTTGGGGGAGTAAGGGGTGGTTCCTGGGGACCCTTCAGGATATCTCACCTGTCAGCCTTGGCCTTGCAGCTTTTTGGCAATAAAGGCCACAGTACCTCTGCTTGTCACCTGAGGCCAGTGGGGTCATTCAGCTAGTGGTCTGGGGGCTAAATGATCACTTGCGTGCCTCCCACATGGACCTGAAAAAAAATTAAAATCCTGGGTCAGTGGGAAGCTGTCTTGGATCGTTAGAAACATTTTTCTTTCTGGGAACTTGCCTGTGCCTTGTGGGTGATGTGAGAGAATCCTCCAGGCTTGTGTTTAGTTGGTCTTTCCTCCTGTGTTATATCTCTGGCAAAGAGCTCACTGGCCTTCAAGGTTGAGTTCAACTGGAGAAGAAAGCATCCCTCTTTTTTTTTTGAGGGTTTTGAGGAATATGGTTGCTTTCACCAGACTGCAGTTTTTCTGTGGCCAAACTGTAGTGGAACCCACAGGTCCCAGTTCATCATTGTCACTCGTGTGTGGGTAGGAGATTGTCACTCTCCCCAACCACGGACGAGGAAAAGTATGGAGGCCAGTGTGCATCCGGCCTTGTATCAGCATTCTTGGGGGTTCCATCCACCCAGCACCCTTGGGTCTGCTCAGCTGTGTGCACTTGGCTCACTGAATTATGTATATTCAGGAGGACAGCATCAAAGATTCATTGCCCCTAGCAAGAACTGCTCCAAGCTGACAATATTCCAAACAGTCTCCAGTTGTAATCAGCTTTCTGTAAGCTGAGCGCAAACTAACTTCTCACCCCTGCCCCACACCCCAGCTTGGCTGTATATCTCTTACAAAGAGTTTTTGTTCCCAGCAGCTGTGGAAGTGTTATGGCCCTAGTGGTGTTTGGACTCTTATTTAAGTTTTGACAGGACAGCACCTGCGTAGGATTCAGGTTGTTCAGGCTTGGAACGGATATAATGGTTTTTTAGTGGGAACTTCATAATTTAATGAATGTAGGAGCAGTGAAGCTAGTGCCCCTCAAACTCCTTTTGGAAGGAAGCAAAGCATAACCAAGTCTGATTAATAAATTGAATTGGGTCAAAAAAAAATAATAGGAAAATAGCTCTGGGCTCTCACTAGTCCCTTCTTGCTATCACTTACTCATTTGTTTTTGAGTAGTTTGGTGAAAGACTTGGGTTAAAATTCATCTGCTTGGTCTTTTCTTATTCTTACACTTAGAATGTAAATATATCTGTGTATCATAAATGTGATGAAAGAGATGTCTCGCCAAATGTCAAATATTAATTTGCTTCATGGTAGCTGGATCCACATTATATAATGTGACTTAGTTTTATTTTATGAAGTTGTCCTGGTGTGGGAGTAAGGATGGAGGGAGAACTATTTTATTTCCAAAGTAGTTGGTGGATATTTTTTAAATATTTAAATCCGAGTAGAAGTATCTCATATGCTGTATATACCTTGAGACAGAGGTGCCCAGTACAGTATATCTCCAAGCTTCATTGATCTGGCGTATCACTTCCTGATAAAGGCGATAGGCAAAATTGGAAAAAGAAACCTAAGTGAGTTTGGGGGACTAGTTTTCTGGTTTCATTATCAGAGCAAAGACAGCTAACCATTGTAGGGTCACTTCTCCATAAGCAGTTAACTAAAATATATTTTCTACCAGCAGGTGTCATCAGTATTTGTGTTTAAAAACCAGCATACACTAGTTGGCCTTTTGAAAACATGATTATATACTTGTTTATAAACTAGGCATTGACTGTTCTTATGAAAGTAATGTTTTAAGATTGATCATTTTTTTTAAGATTGATCATTTTCTTTGCAGAAAGAATGCGACTATAATAAAAAGAAAAACTGACCTATCCAAAGTCCTTTTTGACTTTCAGAGGCAGTTACAGCAAAGCACCTGTGTGTGCCCTTAGACAGATAATGGATTTTCCTTAGTCACTTACTATTGGGAGAACAGGGGGCACTGAGTTGAATGGGCAAGTGCCTTCTAGTGTTTGTTTTTGTCAGTTGCAGCCAGCTTGCTAGGGAAGGCCACTTAAGGAAAGGCTCTGGGGAAGGGCAAGTGTCATTGATATGCATTTTATGCCATACATTTGAGTAAAATGTCCAACAATAAACATTCTCTTCAAAGCAAATCATTAACAAAACTATTCAAGATTTAAGTGCTTTGTAATTTTTTTTTATTTCAATGATGGTTTCCAGTGAAAGAAAAAAATGATATATTTTAAAATTTTCTTTTAAAATATCTATTTTAAACAAAAATATTCTACATGGATTATGACATTAATATAATACTGCTTCTTAATCTAGAGTTTCTTATGACATGGATGTATGAGTTGGGTTGCAGATGTTCAATTTTAATACCTCTAACCAGCTAAATCCTTCTGGCTCTAATCATTAACTGTGAGATCTAAGGAGCTTAGTCCATGGCTCTAGTCTAGACTTTCACAGAGGAGCATGGTATCACGTGAGTATCATTAAGCTTATTTCTTCTGAACATTAATACAGCTTTGCTCAATTGATCTCTGTTTTTATATTTATTGGGTGCTTACTTCCCATGCCAGGAGGAATTGGTCCTTCTAGCATGTTAGATGCTCTGAACACCTGATCAGGTCACTACAAGAAAAGCAGTTAACACTCACGAATTATACCGATTATAACTTAAAAGTCACAATTTCCTATGGTGAGGTTTGCTCTTAAAGAAAGAAGGCTCAAATGAGTAGATATGTTGGCTAAGGATTCTGGAGCCTGGTGTAAGGTCTTAAGTGTTGGGGTCCAATTCATTTTTAATGAAGATATTAAGATGTTTCTGTTGTTTTCTTTCTGAGAATATATCTGACCATTTGATGGACAGATTACTTTTGGTTTTAAGATTCACTATCTCAGATGTTGGTCAGGATTAAGTCAGATGTAGTTAGTGGTATTTGTAGTCATTGCCTTTGTCTCTTTGTCTCTTATATGTTCTTATTTTGACTCAGCCTTGTGTGGCCCTTGGAATGACATTTATCAAGAAATGATGAAGTTGTAGCCCTTTTCTAAGTACCATGTCTAATGTTTCACTCAACCATGTTGTCAGGTTAATATAAAGCATGTATTATTCTCTCTATGAATAAAGACACTGAGGGAAGGTGGCCTGCAGAAAGCCACAAAGAAAATCAGCAGCTGAACCAAGATCCAATGCCAGGTTTCTGATGGATTTAGTCCAGTGTTTAATACCCACGTACCTAGTGGCATCTAAGGATGTTTGTCTCTGTGAAGAAAAATGGGGGGAAGGGAGCGATGTAAAACTTAACAGACATATAAAATGCTTTCAAGTATTTCTTTTAAACATAAAATCTTAAGTATTTTATGTAACTGAGAAGGTACCTTTAAGCTTTAGCTCTAAAGAGCAAAGTGAACCCTAAGCCTCTGCCATAATTTATGCTCCAATCAGTCCACACATGTATTTGAAAATTGTATGCACCTGGGGCTGTATTCCTTGCATGCCAACTGGAAAGCTAAAAGGGTCAACTGGTTTCCAGTAATTTATACATTTTTTAGAATATGTATCATATAGTGTTGAACTGACAGTATGTACAACCAACCACATGGGAGCAGTTCCAAGGAGTTATAACACTAAGAGTCCTGGGATTTCTTCAAATGACTAAATAAATAGACTCCATGCATCATGTGACCTCAGATCTTGCTGGGTGAGGAGCCATGTGGAGTTGCTCCATCTCTTGCTGATAGGATCTTGTTATAGTCATCCAATTGTGATTCTGAGTCTTGTTCAGATGGAAAATATCCTGAGGGTCCTGGGCCCCAGTGCCATCTCAACCACTTGCTAGTGGTGTGACCTTGGACCAGTTACTGTGCCTCTGTTTCCTCAGTGAAAATGGGGATGAACAATTTTGCCTCCTAGGACCATAGTGAGAGCCAATGAGATGATTCATGTGCAGTGCTTAGCACAGTACTTGACACATATAGGGCTCAGTAAATATCGTTATCAAGATCTCTACATCTCAAAAAGATTCCTAAAACAAGTTTAGGAAACATGGTCACCCTCTTAATTTCTTGATGCTGCTTTAAGCACATCAGTGCATTAGGGGTCTCACTGTAGGTTTTCTAATCATCCTCACAACAGTTTTCTGAGATTGGTATAATTGCCCCTTTTTTGTAGAAGAAACTTAGGCTTAGGGCTGGGTAAGTGGCCTTTCTAGTAGGTGGAGGAGCCAATACTTACACCCTAGCCTGACCCTGAAGTCTGCACTTTCTCAACCACATCACGTTGCCTCTAAATGACTAAATCACTGGTCTCCCCACCGCATAACACATGAAGGATGAGCCCTCCTGCTTGAGCAAATTGCCTCACAGTCAGAGGCCCATTTTTTCCTGGGTGTCTGGATAGGAGACCTCACCATTAGTTAATGCTTCTGGCTGGGACCCACAGGAGTGGGGTGTGCAAGCCTCTGTTGGGGAAGGTTTTAGTAACTTCCGTTTTGTGTTTCTTGAGAACAAGGAGCCGGCCTTTGACAGAATTCCGCAGGCTCAGCTCTCTGGAGGTGACACAGTTAGTTCTGCAATTAGTCATTTTGCTTATCTACGTTAACCACCAGCCTTCCAAGTAAACCAATAACT